AAAAAAAAACAACTTTATTTACAAAAAAGGCTACTGGTGGGGACTAGACAAATTGGGTGGGTCCACCGGCAAAGGAAGACAAAAAGGGAACTTACCTACCTTGTTCATCCCTAGATCTGAGTCATTGAAAAGCCAGGCCCCCCACCCCAGGGCTGCCATCTCTGTGCGTTCTTATTACTCTAGCTGAGTTAAAATACCAAAAAACCCCTAAAAAGTTAGTGGTGGTTAAAAGAAAACTTAGCGGAATAAAAGGACCATTTTATTACACTCACAGGTTTGGGGTCAGGAATCCAGACAGGGCATGGCAGGGATGCGCCATGGTATCTGGGAACTCAGCTAGGACAACTCTTTTGAATGCTGCAAGGTGGAAACTTTTGAGATTCATTCACTCGCATGCCTTGCGATCAATTCTTGGCTGGCTCTCAGCCGGGGCTGCCTCTATGTGGCCTCTCTGATGCTGCTTGGGCTTCCTCACAGTATGGTGGCCTCGGACTAGTCCGCTTTCTTCCAGGGCTGCTCAGGACCACAAAGGCACGCATCTCTGCCAACACAGTGGAAATCACATCTCCTCTTGTGACCTAGACTCTAAAGCCCCAGTGTCACTTCTGTCATCAGCCCTCCCAGATTCAAGGGGAGAAGAATTAGATTCCATTTCTTGATGGGGAGTGGTGAAATTCCAGAAGAACCTGTGGGGCAGGAGCTATTGTTGCAGCCATCTTTGGAGAATATAATCTGAAGATACAATTTGCCCCAATAAGAATTCATAATTCTAATCTACACAGTCTGCAGGGTCCAGGAAATGCCAGATTTGTCAGTTAACTTAAATTGGCCCCAGGCATCAGCACTGTGGGACTCCAGGCAGAAGCAAATGCAAATCTTTTTTTTTTTTTAAGATTTTATTTATTTATTGGAGAGAGAGACAGAGATAGAGAGAGCAGGAGCAGGGAGGAGAGGGAGAAGCAGACTTGCTGCTGAGCAGGGAGCCCGATGTGGGGCTCGATCCCAGGACCCTGAGATCATGACCCGAGCCGAAGGCAGACACTTCACTGACTGAGCCACCTTGGCGCCCCAAAGCAAATGCAAATCTGCTCTAGAGCGTCATGCTCTGGACTTAGGTTGCACAAAAATTCCCACAGCCGATCATGAGCTCACAATCTAAAATGATAAGACAAAGGAGGACATAACGTGCTATGAGCAGGACTCCGTTTGGACAAGGAGCAGCAGCAGATCCTGCCCTTTCCATATCGTGGCCAAGACTGTGAGAGTTACAGGGAGGGAGAGAAAGCCTTTCAGAAGGGTCAGGCAAGATGAGGGCAGCCAGGATCTGATGCATCTGGGAGATGAGGCGATTCTATGGCTGATCCAGCTTCTGACCCTCTCGTTGACTGTGCTGCTCGTAGGGAACTTCCAGGCAGGAGAGGATGGTCGCATCCTAAAGCGCTTCTGTCAGTGTGAGCAGCACAGCCTGGAGCAGCTGATGAGTGACCCCCTACGGCCTTTCGTGCCCACCTACTATGGCATGGTGCAGCGGGATGGCCAGGCCTTCAACCAGATGGAAGATCTCCTGGCGGATTTCGAGGGCCCCTCCATCATGGACTGCAAGATGGGCAGCAGGTAGGTTGAGGGGCAGCCATGGGGCAGAGGTGAAGGGTCAGGGGATTCTCAACCCACTGGGCCACCCAGGCGTCCCTCATTTCACTCTCTTAATAGTTATCTTTTGACAAACAGAAGCACTTTTAATTTAGGTCAGTGTGCCATTTTTCATTCTGATTAGTGGCTTTGTGTTTAAGAAATCTGCCTACTCCAAGATTGTGTTATCTCCTATGTTTTCTTCTGCAAGCTTTATTGGTTTGACTTTCTAGATTTGCAATCCATCTAGAATTAATTTTTATACATGGTGTGAGGTAGGGATGGAAGCCACCCCCCCACCTCAATATGGCAGTCCTATTGACCCAGCACCATTTATTGAGAAGACTTCCCTTTACCCACTGAATTGTTGGGCCTTCTTTGTCATAATTTGGGTGAACGTACACACGTGTGTCTGTTTTTAGACTCTGTTCCGGTCCATCAATCTAATTGTCTATTCTTGTGCCATGTTGTGGGTTTATAACTTGTCTTGATATCAGAGAGTATGTCCTCCATCTTTGTTCCTCATAGTTTTCTTTGTCACGTCCTCTGTGTCCCAGGACCTACCTGGAGGAGGAGCTAGTGAAGGCCCGAGAAAGGCCCCGGCCCCGGAAGGACATGTATGAGAAGATGGTGGCTGTGGACCCCAGGGCCCCCACCCCTGAGGAACATGCTCAGGGTGCTGTCACCAAGCCCCGCTACATGCAGTGGAGGGAGACTGTGAGCTCGACCTCCACCCTGGGCTTCCGGATTGAGGGCATCAAGGTGAGGGCCAGGAGCTGCTAGCCTGTCGCCAGAGGGCTGAGCGCTAGATCAGAGGCAGGGCCTCTTGGGGAACATGGGTGTCAGGGAAAGCTGGGAAGAAGCAGGATGTCGAGAAAGAGCAGGAGACTGTGGAAGATGAATAGACAGGGGCTCAGGGAAGTCCTGCTTCTTTCTCACCCCTATCAGTGACCAAGTTTTGTTTATCTGTCTCCCTGAGTAGCTCTGATTCTGTCTGCTCCCCTCCCTACGGCCCTGCCCTAGTCCGCACATCTCTCCTGCCCTAGCCTCCCTGGGCTCTCCTGCCCTAGCCTCCCTGGGCTCCTGGGTCCTTGTCTCACCCCCTCTGATCCTCATCCAACATGGTAGCTGGAAGGATCCTTTTTCCCCCATATGGGGAAAGATTTTCGTTTTTTCTTTCGTTCCTTTCTTCTTTCTCTCCTTTTTTTGCAAAGTAAACCTAATTGCTTGAAGAGGTATTCACACAGTTCAAAAATCAAAATAATATAAAAGGGTATAGAGGGGAAATCTCTCTCCTAACCCTGCTGCTGTCCTTCCCTCCACCCATGCCGGCTCCTGGAGAACCACCTTATGGTTTCTTCTGTTTCTTCCTGCAGATACAAACAAATGCAATTGCATATCCTAAATTTTCCTCCTCCCACTCTTACACAAAAGGAAGCATAGCCCTGGAGAGTTTTCCATATCATTCCATAGAAAGCTGCCTGCCTGCCTTCCTTCCTTCTTTGCTCTTCCTTCCTCCCTTCCTGTCTTTCTCTGGATGTAATAGCTCTCTCTGGGTGAGACACAGTCCCTTAAAGATGGCCACCTGGGTTTCCACTTTTTGCGATTATAACCAGTGCCTCAGTGAATCACTTTGTACACCAGACACTTTGCCAGTGGGTAGGTTTGCTGTAGACGAGATTCCCAGAAGCAGGAGGACAGTGTCGAAGATGAGGTGCATTGGGGATTTTGCTAGAGATCGTCAAACTCCTTTCCCAGGAGTGGGACCATTGTGCACCCCACCAACGATCCATGAGAGTACCCATTTCCCCACGGCCTCGCCTGAGCTGTCTTTCTGATTTGTACATCTGACTGTCATTCTCCTATTCAAAACCCTTCCATGGCTCGCTGGTCCTCTCGAGAGAATTTCCCTGGCCTAGAGGGCCCTCCAGGGTCTAGCCTCATCTCTCCCCCTCTCTTCCTCCTCGTCTACCTCGTCTTTCATTTGCTTGAAAGAGTCCTGCTCTTTCCTGCCACAGGACCTCTGCACATGCTCTTCCCCCTACTTCCCCCTGATTGACTCCCAGTTGTTTTCCTGTCTCCTTTTATTTTATTTATTTATTTAATTCATTTGAGAGAGAGAGAGAGCATGGCAGGGAGGCGCAGAGAGAGAGGGAGAAGCAGACTCCCCCACTGAGCAGGGAGCCTGACACGGGGCTTGATCCCAGGACCCAG